GCAGGAAACCCAGAACGTCTCCAGGATCTCAAGTCCACCGTGGATCTGCTTACAAGCATCACCTTCTTCAGGATGAAGGTAGTGTGTGTGTGTGTGTGTGTGTGTGTGTGTGCAGCAGCAGAGGCAGAACTGAGATGGCAGCTGTAGGCATCAGAAAGAAAACTGTCACTCTGGGTCATCACAGCCTTGGGCGTGAGCGGAGTTCAGCTGTGCTGGTCTACATGATGCATCAGAACTAACACACTGACGATACTTCACAACAACACACACACACACACACTTAAAGGATTCACACACTGGTTTAATTTTAGACAGATCTATGAAATATCTCAGAAGGTTGCTGCTTTATCCACTAGAAGATTTAAAAGCTGGACAACAGAATCTGAATTGATCAGCTGTTTAAAGACTAAGACCTTCTCATGTTTGGGATTTTGCAGCTGTTACTCAGAGGAGTCTGGACCGGTACCATCTGTCTCAATTCAATCCAATTCAGTTCAATTCAATCATATTCAACAATACTTCATTAATCCCAGAGGGAAATTAGAGTTTCAGTGCACACAATTGAGATCAGACATACATACATACATACAATACGTTTACATGCAGCCAGTATCCGGGTTATGATCGGGTTAAGGTCGGGATTCGGGTTTCTGAGTTGATCAGAATAACCCGTTTACAAGCATAAACAGAAAGAGTTACCCCTAACTTGCATAACCCGTTTAAATGCGGACGTTGGGGTAGCGTCAGGACGTGTGGGACTACATCCAGACGCAATATGCGTCATTTCCGGTTCTTCTTGTTATCCGTGAAAACAACATGTTTCCCAGTTCGGAAGAGATACCGACCGCGTTTGTTTGGCGCTTTAGTTTCCTCATCACTCCAAAGGTGTGGTGCTGTGCCGCGACTCGCCATGTTGCTCCCAACTTGTTGTTTACTTCCGGTGTTCTGGCGCGTACAAGACGTCTCGCTACTCAAAAGAACAAGATTCCTTGTGAACAGAGCATGTGCAGAACACACGCTTTGATGGGGATATCCGGTATGCGTTTACACGACCAAACATTCGGGTTAGAAAAGGGTTACCCCAGGTGTAGTAACCGGGTTTTTAAAAACCCGGTATGAGCATATACGGGTTTTTGGCGGTGTTTACATGGACCTGCGGAACCAGGTTATTGTGAATATTCGGGTTTTGAAAGGGTTACTGGCTGCATGTAAACGCACTGATAGACACACGACAAGAACTGGTGACTGTGGTCATTCACAACCCGAGTCGCGCTACCTTAATAGATCGAGAGGGTTTATATGAGGATTGAGTCGGGGGAGGGAAAAAGGCACTTCAGAGTTACCTTCCACAGGAGGGCAGCTTTGCTCTGCAAAAAACACCTCAGTCAGATATGCAACACAGACTTCAGACATTACACAACATAAGTGTCCACTAGGTGGGGGGGTAGGGTTGGGACTCTCCTCACTTCAGTGCGTGCAGCCGCATGGAGCAGTGCTCATCACCTCCGTTTGGACAGGGGAGGGAGATAATGGGTTAGAGAGGACATTGACTCCTAGATACGATTCCACGGCCTTCACCGGTCACAGTCCCGCCCAGGCTGGGATAGGGAGAAAGAGTTTCCATAGCGACGGTAGCATTCCACATTTCTTCTGAGGGGAGTTTTCACTTCAGCCTCACAGGCTCAAGGGCACCAGATTCAGATAAAGGATTGTTTTGGGGACAGACAGAGATAATTTCCTCTCTGCCTTAGTGTTCTGTTGGTCTACAACCCCTCTAGATCCAATAATGGCGTAATTAATCTATCCCAATCCGTGCTGATCTGTCAACTCTGTCCTTGATGGAATCCACCTTCTGTGCCAGAGCCTGAATCTCAGCCAAAGGTCCAAATTTACGACTCATCTCGACAATTATATGAGTTTGTGTGTTCACAGCGCGATGCATTCAATCCTGAGCTCCGGGATTGATCCAATATTCCTTTTTGTTCATTTTATGGTATGCCAGGCATCCGCTCAATAGAACAAAGCTGCCTCTCCTGAAGGGATCGCTGTGAAGTGGAGACCTCTGTCTCGTCCTGATGAGTGAGTGATGGACTCCACTCATGTGTTTGTGCAGGTGCAGGAGCTCCAGAGTCCACCGAGAGCCAGCATGGTGGTGAAGGACTGCGTGAAAGCTTGCCTCGACTCAACGTACAAATACATTTTTGACAACTGTCATGAACTTTACAACCAGCTTCTTGACCAGGTAACTCCACCCGTAGCTACTGCTGTTGCTCCTCACATGTAGGGTTTTATCAGGTGTCATGTCACCTGCCAGGTATTCACACCAGCCTGTTTCATGTTAAACGTTGCTGATCCACCATGTAGGAGTCATCCGGGTGATCGGGTCCAGACAGGAGCTGTCATGTAACAACAGAACAGCGTGCTTGGAGTCCTGGCTGGTGGTGATTTAGGATTAGCTTGTTCATCTCACAAGTGTCTGACTTTAGGGTTTGAAACTGAAGGAGGCGCTGTGTGAAGCTGAATATGAGTGCAGCAACAGATCTGCTACCATTCCTGGTGATTAGTGAGCTGAGCAGCTAAATCTGAGAGCGTTTGCATCTATCTGGTGATACATCTCATGTTGTTGTGGCCATGGGCGTCGCACCCGTGGGGGACGTGGGGGATTCAACACCCACCCTTTTCCAGCTGTTTGGCTCACCTCCACACCAGTCTGGTTTCTCACACTCACTCTGTTTGCCTCATCTCCTTCATCCCCTCCCTCTCCTGTTTCTCCTTGAAACCCGACATCAGCTGTCGGGTTTCAAGGAGAAACAGGAGAGGGAGGGACGGAAGAGCTCGACTGAATTCATAATTTTACATCTTGACATTAGCTGTACAAACTCTCAGTTTGATAACGTGAAGAACAACAATCTGTAGAGGTTTATAACAGGCGCGGCGCCAGGTTTTCATCTTTGGGTGGGCCACGGTCATTCTGGACGGACCTTAATAAGCAGTGACTTAGTGAAGCAGGCAGGTCGCGGTAGAAAATTTAGTTTAAAAAGACGTCATAAATGTTTTGCCCCGTCATTTTAATTTCTAAAATATGAAGTAAAAACTCCCAATTTAATTTTCATTCATTTGTCATTTATAGGCACCAGAACCTGCACTTCTACTATTTACCTCTCAACGTAGGACTCTTTCAGAAGGGTACATGCGCACCAGTAGTTTTTATGTTATTCATGGGGCAACATCTCCCACATGTAAAAAAAATCCATCTTCCACTGAAAGCAAAGCATCCAGCCCACCTCTCCAAATGTGTAAAATGTGCATCACAACCGCTAGTTAGGCGCGCCGCCCACACCGTCAGCTAAGTCAGCCCAGACAAGAGCAGAGCAACTAGAATAGAGGATAATTGTGTCTGGATGTGGATGGAGATTACATTTTACAGCAGCCTGATCATCATTTAAATACATAAACCATCACCTGTCTTCTAGTCCACGCTATCAGCATTATTTTAATTGGTGTGTGAGCGTGTGTGTGTGTGTGTGTGTGTGCGTGCGTGCGTGCGTGTGTGCGTGCGCGTGCGCGTGGGTGTGGACATAAAGTCTCCGCTGAGTTGATCACCAGACAGAGGATCAGCGTTGGAAGCTCGTTAGCTGTTCAGGAAGCTTTCACAGAAGATGCTCACAGGAAGAACATCATCTCATCCTCATGCATTCCCTTAAGCCACACTTCCTTGTTAAAGGACACAACAGGTTTAGAAGTGTCCTGGTCAGACGTCTGATCCACTGGAGCGGTTCAGGATCATCCAGGATTCGGTTTGAGTCGGCTCTTCTACAGAACGGGGTTGCTTTTGTTGGTTTTCTTCTTATCTGAGTCAACAAGCAGCACCAGATTATTTTACAGTTTACTTCCCAAAGAGAATGAACGTCTTCTGAAGTCGTAACAGGATGCCATCTCCTCAAACGAGGAATAATCAGCTCCCCTTGTTTAGGAAAGCCTGAGGGGTTGTGAGCAATTACCAGACCTGTGAGATAGACACTCGAGCTAATTACATCCTCGTCCAGCAGAGGTTCACAGCAGATAGACTGATGCTCCAACTGCGGTTCTGTACGGCCTCGCCTCTAAAGCATTCTGTTCACACACACTAGGTAGCCTCTGCCACAGGAGAAGGGCCGCGTCCTAAATCCCCCACCTCTAAGGGTCAGAGTTACCCGAACCCTTACCCTAACCCCTCAGCATGAGCATCACAAAACCGGGCTGGGAGGGCGGCTTCAAGAAGCAATATGTAGGAAAACATCACGGAACAGGGAAGTGAGAACTTGATCATCAGCATCATCAGAGTCCTGGCATCAGTCACCAGCTTTCTGGTCTTTCTGGTGGATCTAACTAGTTGTTTGATCTTCAGAGGACAGAGTCAGCGTTGGATGATGAAGCGGTCTCTGCATGATCCGACTATTAACAGGAAGTGGGTCACATAGCAGGCCAACACTGCAGCCATGGAGCTGATCTGCACACACACTAAATGATTCCTTCATGGCACAATGGATCAGCTCAGTTCAGGGCATTAGGCAACAAACGGGCCCGATTAAAACTCGATGTGTCTCACTCTCACCTGATCCAGTACCAGTATGACTCGGTCCAGAACACGGGCTCCTGTTTAAGTCCACTGACGTCATAGGGCCCAGTTACTTTGGTAATTATTAAATGAGTTCATGCTGATTAGATAATAAATGCCAGTCTAAAGACCCACAACCCTGAAAAGGAAGCAGAACCGAGGGGGGTCAGTGACTGCCCCAGCCCTCAGTCCAGCCTCTTATGGCTGCTGGTAGTGGCTACCATCCCATAGCTGGCCCTGAGTGGGTTTCAGTTCCTCTGACACAGCCCACAGGTGCTGGGAATGTCATCACATTCCCTAAAAGCATCCCTTTGTTAATGAGTGAACTGGTGACAAGCCCAGTGTGTGTTAATGCAGACTCCGCCCACATGAGGCCCGAACCATAAACCACTACATACCCTCC